TCGAGTGTTCCCGACCATGATTACCACTCACGTGTGTGTGAGTTTTGCTTTCCATACGAGCGCAGCGTGGTCTTTCCCACTCAAGGCCATCAAAGGATGCAATTCTTTGCTATCGTTGGTGAGTGATATCCGATTTCAATCGCGTGGGACTGAGCGAGCGCTGAATGAACACAAATCACGGTAGACTATTTCTCGCCTATTATCCTCAGGCAGTTTATCGAGGAAACCAGCCGTTTCCCCCATATTCTATACGAAAATGTAGGGAGAAATTCGCTGAGGGTTGTAAATAACCATGGGACAATTGCGAAGAATATACTTACCTCCCTATCTTTTGGCTCCAGCTGAAATATTTCATTTGATATTGCCTCCCCCATTTCTTTCGAGATTGGCTTGATCACCGTAACTAGCTCTCTCGCGTGGTGCGCCTTAAGTTCCCACTGGCGACGTTTTTGTTGTTTCCTTGCTACAGGGTGTAGTTTTGGATCAAGTATATTGGGTTTTTTAACAACGAGGTCTTTCTGCTTTGAAACGTTCGAGTCATGTGGAAATTTGTTCTGCATTAAGATCATCTCCTCACGATGCAGCTGACCGACCAATGCACGCTGGGATTCGCGAGCCTCGTAGTCCATCCTCATCTGCCTTAGCCGCTCACGTGGTGGGGTTTGAACAGCTTCTTGAGTACGTCTGGACAACTCAGCTTCCAAGTCTAGTCGGAGCCGTTGTTTCCATTGGTGGTAATCTGGAACTTGATACGTTTGCATTTTTGGTAATACCCAGTCGTTTTGGCTTACAAAATACCGAATGTGCGTAGAGCGTCACCTAATGCTTTATACATATGTGTATATATGACCAAAACAGTGATACACGGAGCTGAGATAAAACTGCGTTGAACTTTTGTGGAGCTGCAACACAAAGACTGACGGATGAACAAGTCGTGGACACCCCCCGGAAGCCAGTGGGTTCGAATACGAACAAATATCAATACAGCTATTGAGGATAAAACGAGATAAAGTAAGAACGGAGACCTTCATCAAAACATTCTTTGATCTGACAAATACAAAGGGAACTCAGAAGCTCCGGGCCAAACTTTTGGAGCACTTGAGGAGAATAAGAAGCGAGTGGCGGGCATGACGAAGTGGAGAGCTACAGATGTAGGCAGACTGCCATTTTCACAAAAAAGAAATTTATGATCCGAAAATCTTCAGCAGATAGCGGACAGTAAAAAAACTGGTAGAAAACTCAGCATGTCTGAAGACGTTCTGGACGCTTAGAAATATCAACTGTCATCACTACCTAACCGGCCAGGACGAGTTGATTTGAACTATAAAGCCCACTCGGTCAACATACGGTTGTACGGTTGTACGTGGCTGACTTGCCCAAAGTAGCGGAACTTCCGGGGGTCATAAACCAACTATACAATGGCAGAACAGCGGGACTTGGGGCTTGATCTCCGAACTGTCACTACATGTTGAACTGCGACGCAAATTCTGGATGATTTCAAGGACCTGGTACTTGACATAATGGCATAGTAAGTGTGAGGAGCACCGAGCTGGGACACGTCTGACTGTTGAAAACAGGCAAGCGATTTGAAAGGACCTGACCGTGTGTACTTGCGCAAAGTGAAGACGCACTTGCTTTGGCAAGATAGACCTTGGAAGTCAGGTGATAAATTAACCGCCAGGAATAGAGGCAAGGCTTTTCCATTTTCTAATGGCTACTTGCTTGACACTGTAATGACAATGCGGGATTACTGAACTTCCACCAGCTTATTCATTACCAGCTAGATGACTTGGCAGTGGATGGATCCCAGTAACAGCTGCATGTTGAGAAAAGTCCAGTATTATGCTGAAAACTGAGGGAATCGATGGATGACAATGATACCTTTGATGATAAACAGGTAGCCACTGCAACTACCCATTGGTATGTCTTTGTGTTTAGGCCAGCTGATGGCTTGCGAAGGCATGTGTCTCTTGATATAACTCCTTGAGGCGCAAATGACTTGCTTTTAGCACCAAATTCGGCTTTGCGCAAACCGTCGCTGACTACTTGCTAGTCTCCAGTAGTCTGACCATGACGGACGAGGGCGAATCCGATTACATAACTGAAACTTCCTGCCTTGGTAATCTGGATCTTTCAGAAGGCTGAGCCTTCAGCAACGACTGTCTGTGACCATATCTTCATGGACTAAGCTGAATAATGCCTTGTACTAGCCGCGTAAATGCTTGTGCCTTGGGTGCGTGTCTTGACAAGTGTGGGTCACCATACCATCTTCTGAATACACTGAGGGTTTAAATCGTTTGGATGTCCCCCCCCGTAGATAATTACTAAACGACAGCTAGACTTCAGAACCCCAGAGAAAAGTGAAGAGTAGGTGTTCACTCGGTTGTACAGCCGCCTACCTTCATTGATCGGATGCAGAGTTTCACCTGTGTGATTTCAAGGTACATAACTAAGGTAGCAGACAACAGATCGCACACCACGGGTCAGGCTTTGTAGCCTCAAATCGATCATTTTAACCCGCACTGCTGTAGTCTTTCTCGTTGAGCTACATGGCCACACTGTTCGTCAGTATTTAAGTGACGTTGGTTGATCGGTGAGAACTAAAGCGAAGAATGGATTCCACTTGACGCTCTTACACAGCTCTCGAATGGAAACAGATTATCTGCATAGAAACTAGGAAGATTTTTTAATCTGAAGTACACATCTGGCCCAGGTTTTTGGCGGCATTGTGCCGACGGATTGTGTGCGCACATTCATACCGAATAAGGTAGGCTCATAGTAATCTTGACTGGACGGATCTGCTATATCCTTGGGACCATTTGTTACGACTCGTGCTGGAAAGCGTTAAAAGTTCCAGACATGGCCGCGACCAATCCGCAAGTAAACAACAGTGAAAACACTACCTGTGTGAACTTTTCGGCCACTGGTGTACGTTCACGAAGCCGCGAATGAAAAATTTGGTGTAGAAGAGCGAAGACTTGTGAGTAGCGCTCGCTTACTTTGGTAAAGAAGAATGCACATGAATGCGAATCCTTTATTTTTCCCTAGATTGGAACGACCCTACTAAATGGATGACTCAAGGTCTCTTACGACCTTGTCAATCCATACAGCGCATACTTCGAGTCCACTTTGGGTCGCGTAATTCCGCGTCGTGTTTTCCAGCCTCCGTTAAAAATCCAGTTTCTAGATCCTCCGAACAATAGGGTGAACCCTAGCTCGGAGGTCTAGACGCTAGAACCAGACAGTCTGCTGATGTCATTCAATGGAGCTTGGGTTTTCTGTTGAAACACCCATCGTCCAAAGTGTTGTCATTTGCTGGTGAGCCGTTCCCCGTGAGCGTTAGTTCACTGGAAATGCGTAGCCATAAACTCCCTTCTCAAGAGTATATGTAGCTTGAACACCTGGTCCAAACCGGCTTGTTTCAACAGCATGCACACGGTTTGGATTAGTGCAGTATCAACCTTCGAAAGTACAGGTCCCGACTGTACAGCACACAGTAGCACGGATCCAGGACATATTTTACTGTCTTTCAAGGTCATTAGAGGGAAATCACGAGCACTCTGTGCATGAGGCTGTTATTGAAGTAGTTGAGTGGACTGATCAGTCAGATATGTATTCAGATTCTCTGAACGATTTGAATACATTTCAGCGATCAGTGAACTATGTGAGGATTTTGGCCACTGGTAAGCAACATTTTGTTTGTCGTGCGCACTGGTGGTGGAGTGTTCGCCTTGGACGAACGGACCAAAAACCGAACAGCACACCGATTGCCAATCGTTAAAACCGAGATTCTCAACGTCATTTCAGCTACTGCCTGAATTCATCGAACACGATTTACTGGATCGCAGATCTCATGCCAATTACTTCAGTTCTTCTGGACAACACGGTGGTGCTACCTCCCTCTCAGATGGATAGGTTGAGCGTAACTCACTCCAAGTCTTGTGCACTGACTAGCAGTTGTATTCACTCCAGACGTGAGTGAACATAACGGTTTCTCTTGCTGGTCAATATACTACTCAAAAACCGTATTGTGGTATCACTGCACCGCATGCATCCAATTTGGCTGCTTCACGTGCTCAAACAGCACACTGGTGTCCTCTGGGTATTTGGAAGACACCAAAGGTGATCTCTGTTAGATATGAACTACTGAGTTGTCGGGCAAAGATCACATGTGTGTCCACGACAGTTGTTCTGGCAGCGCAGTTACTAGTTAGTAGTTAGTAACCAACCACTGACGTTCATCTACTAACTAACTTCCTTATCGATACGCGGTCCTTAGTGAAGGCTTTTTTCCAGAAGCTAGTTACTTCCTCAGCGAGAATTTTATGTAGCTAATTAACCGGCGCAAGAGTAGCTATCCCCTTCTAGAATGCATTACCATGGAAAAGGCACCCTTAACCCACTACCCAAGGCCTCGATGATTCTTTGAGGCGAATGGCTCGGAATACGTTCTCACCCACGGACAGTTTTGTGGTTAGTATGAATCATCGAGTTGCTTTTGACGGACCTCGTCGGTGGCAAGCTGTTCGACCCCTGCATTTGACGATCCTCCACACAAGCGTAATGTGGCTATTCTAAATAAGCCAGAAGTCACAAAAACCGCGGTATCCATTCACTAGAGGACAGAGTGAGAACTGACTTCCCATAAGCTCTCTCAGGGTGTCCCCAACTTTATAGTTCGGGGGGGGGGGTCGGCTCCGATAGGGAGGGTGGTTGTCTTCTAAGCTTAGTTATGCTGTTACAACATTTTCTTGGTCAGTTACATTCGGTTCCTTCTGCATTCCCTTCGATGTTCCATCAAGATGAAACGCTAAAATTGTCGGCAGACCTGAGGATTCGCGATCGGTTCTGCTGTGTCTCATTGGTTAGATATGAGACTAGAGGGACTTGTGCTTTCTCGCTTAACTTTAATGCGTCAGACAATGCGGGCTGTTAGTGAGCGTGAGCGTTAGGTTCTGGTCTGCGGGTGGTTGCAGTCCCGTGCCGAGTTCATTCAACCAAGGCCAAGGTCATTTAATGAGAATAACTTTTAATTAATGGGTAAATGTTGATTAGCAAGCCAGGTAGTCCTTTTGAACAGTTTCTGTGTCAATGGTGTTGTCGGTTCCACGGAGAAAAACCGCAGGGAATTTCCGTTGCAATATTACATAGTTCTGAGCTTTGAAAATGATTGGATGCCAAAAAATACGGTCTTCTAGCTTGAAATAAAGCGACTTTGACCTCTAAGTTGGTCAACATAAGACTGTCAGATTGTGTAGTATACTCTCTCCACAACACCAATCTCAGTTCACCACCAGAGGTCAAAGTAACAATCGGTGCCCATAAATCACTATGTATGAAACACTTCGAAGAACAGTCACACAGCAATAACAGCAACATTTGATGTCCTAACCGGATTCGATTGAAGCCCTAATTAAACTTACAGCAGCTGTATTCTGATCTGAAATTGAACGAGCTTCAGTAACGCATGTTTCTGGGTCTCTTTCCGACGTGACTACTCATAAGTAGTGATGGCTCGGCCCAGGTACACAAAAGGATCGAACTGCATGTTGATTCGCGTGTGGTGTGGCCACAACGCCAGATCTTTGAAGCACAAAAACTGACGGATTTCGCATACCAGGCCACAGCAAATTCTGGGCTATGGCCAATGATTTGCGGGTTCGTGTCAGTTTGTGACCTTGGAACACAAACTCATGCTTGTTAAATTTGGCTAAGTGACAGAGTAAACTATCGGAATGATAAGCCATATTTTGATATGCAGTCACTGTATGCTAAGCATCAATCATCGGGGGGTCCGAAAATGGATGAATATATAACGTTGACTTTCAAAGTGCTCAGTCTTACAACCGATGTCCTGATTAGTAACCTTCTCTCGGTGAGGTGAGCGTTTCTCCCAGTTCCATGAAGCCCGTGGATAGAAAAACAAATACATTTCAAGTTGATCAGGTGGCAGTCACCTGTTTGCCAAGCCGTACTAACAGGGATCACCGAAATTATCATCTACTCTCCGTCCACAGTCTTCTGATGTGTTTCTTCGAGCGGGCACCATAGCTTCTATTCATGAGTACTTTTAGCAGTGGTACCGCGGGTATCGAAGCCCGCAAAGCCAACCGATACACAATTTAATCTTACCGGTGCATACTCCTCGTACGTTAGTGGAGTTGATATGGCTACCCAAGGTGGAAAAAAACAGTCAACTGATCGTCGAGAGCGCACTCAGTAGCTTTTATTGAAGCGACCGACTGATGATCCGTATATCGGGCAGAACTTCATCTGCTTCAGGAGTTCTAGTTCAAAAGCACAAATCGTCGAGCATGACAGATTATCAGAAATTTAATTCATTAAAAAAAAGAACCGAGTGTCTGTGAACATGTTCAGATCCGCCTAACAATGACGATTGTTGGCGCATCCTGTACACCGCGGATCATTGCCTAAGTGCTCGCGGGCCAAGAAACGATTTCAACACATTGAAATTTACAGATGTTTCACCACTGGAATAAAACAGCTTTCAAGTGTATCTGTATGGAAAATCACTTGTGCCTGAGTTTCTNGTGCCTGAGTTTCTGAGGGGTACTTATGCATTAGAACTTAACTCGCTCTCGAAAGGGGTTGCCCTAACGTCATAAAGTTGATTGAAAAACAATACGATGAGTTTGTGGGGGGGGGCAAACATCAGACGTGACAACAACATGGTTACAATGTCCTCACGAATCATTATGTGTGAAACGGGATTTCATCCTATGAGTGGAACTAATCTATGCTGAACCCCGAAGTTGCGCTGTACAGCTGTTCCATTTTTGTTCGGAATCGTCAGTAGTGCGAAACTCACCAGGCGTAAGGGAGTTTTGTGTGTCAACTTCCCCAAGGTAGTTTGAACACTTGACCCAAATTCCAATCAAATAACTTATACAGAACCTCCTCACAGTACTAACCATCCATGAGTAGCTCTGCGGAAGAACAGATTCATCCGGTGAGTGAAACTTCCACCTGAGAAGTCATCACTCGAGCAGCCAATCAATACGTGATTGTATGATGTGGTTTCCGTGACTGAACAATAGATGGTGCTGTATCTAACTGTCTAACTGCGAGTTAAACGCACTGCTGACTAGCCCCTCTTGGCCAAGGTCGCGGGGCTTTTTGAAACTCCCTGATAATTCCAAATAAAGATGGGACAGTTGTACAGTGCTTCTCGGCCCTTCAGCGCAGATTGGACCTACTCACACGATGAGTTCTTGTTTCAAAATTTACCATACACTCTCAGACCAAAATTGTTCGAATGGTAATAACATGAAGAGAGTAAAATAGAAGAGACTCACTGGCGTTCCTCAGCGATTCGCGTTTGGCCCTTTGGAACTCGTTTACCTCGTTGTTCCATCTTTCCAAACTGCGCGGTGATTTGCTCCCCAAGCAGCCAATTTCGAATTGGTCAGTGGAACTTTTCAAGGACGGCTCAAGGCGGTGGGTTTCGCTGCCAGATCGTACGGTTGTTTCCCCTTGGATGTATGAACCGTACGCTTCAGAATCATTGACTGAGACGGGTGATTTGACGGGTTTTTCACCCAGGTTGTAAATATCGACTGATGGCATTGAAAAATGGCACTTTGTCAAATGCCCTGAAACGGGTGAAGTAAGTACTTTTCTTGAGGTAAAGCCGATTTGCAGTAATGAATTTGAGAGATCTCAAACACTTTAGAACACTTTAGAACCGAGGGCTTGCAAGCCCTCGGTTCTAAAGTGTTCGAGATCTCTCAAACTCATTACTGCAAATCGGCTTTACCTCAAGAAAAGTACTTACTTCACCCGTTTCAGAGCACCTGACAAAGTGCCCTTTTTCAATGCCATCAGTCGATATTTACAACCTGGGTGAAAAACCCGTCAAATCACCCGTCTCAGTCAATGATTCTGAAGCGTACGGTTCATACATCCAAGGGGAAACAACCGTACGATCTGGCAGCGAAACCCACCGCCTTGACCGGTTTTACTATTTGTATCCCCACGGATGATTTATTGATCTTTTTTATATCACAAGCTTTGATACCCTTCAAAAGAACAACTGTCTGTTCGGCGAAACACACCCATTCACAAACAAATTCGGTTTTGCGAGACACTCGCCTGGATCCCAGATGAATCTCTAGTGTATGAGGTTTTCAAACTGGGTTCCAGGTGAGTCTTTTGTCTGTTTTGACAGGATATGCAAATGAATGTATTTCGCTAGGTTCGTACAATTTGGTCTCAAGTAGAACATAAGTTTGACGGAAACTCGGGGACTTCGCCTACCTGATGAGCCCCAGGAAGGGCGAAACCGGTCGTGGGCTGTCGACGAATTTTCAGCAACCTTACAAGTAGTGCATTACCTCCATATAACTATCTGTTTAGTTGTATGGACGGAATCGTGAGCTTTTACCTGAAATCAGCGCTACAAGATCTACGCGGGTACTCTGAAAGATAACGCACCGCTGAAGTTCACATGCCTCCACTTCAAAGCTGGTTCCACCAACCGGATGTTAAGCAATGACTGTGCATTCCACTATCGCACGTGAATCACGAGATATAGAAATATGGTGTTGAATAAGGCTGGTGAAGTTTTTTGAAGGTAAACTCTTTGTTCTGCCACTGGAAGTGCCTAGACATACCAAATGTGTCAATTCTCATACGGAATCTTCCGAGGGTGAGGGTGACAGCGAACAAGAAATGTGAGAAACTACGCATTGGCAGTTACACGAAAAGTGACAATTAACGGGCTGGAGTACCTAGTCCGGAAAATTTCTGTGAAACTCTTATGGTCCTATGAGACGCATTGTCCCACAGAGGAATGGGAGTGAAACAGCTTAGCGCAAGCAAATATGACTCTGCAAAAATTTTCCAATCAAGAGACTCTGTCTTTGGGTGATACCATCTATTATTTCCAGTGTCACCACTTATCGGAGAAGAAAACCTTTTATGATTAACAATCTCGATCAGTTTAAGAGTTGTAAGCTCTTCAGCCAACTGAACCGTAGAATTGGATCCGTCAGTCATAATATTTTCTCAAGACTTACCATTAGCCTAGCAAACTCCCAATACATCACGTAGCGTGGATTCAGGAGAAAGCAACGCAGCTCGGAAGTCGTTGTGGATGCCAATGGAACGACGCGCCAGACTGCCTGTCTCGTGAGTTTGTCACCTTATCAAATCAAATGATAACAATGCATTGCGAATAGCAAATCAGGGTAGTCATTGGTCCAACCGCTTGCGACTTTGGCGAATCGATTGCCAGGGACAAACTAATTACACCTCAAACTCATGCTACTGAATTTTATTTGAGTAATAAAGGTGTTCACGACAAATCTTACCACGGATTGGCAGCATTATAAACCAGGATGTCCTTTAACAAACTAAAAGTACTTATGGTGATTGCTTCTGAACTTCACGAGGATGATTGTATGGTGACACTGCTACTTCGTTGGGCATTTGTGAGCATCAGAAGAATCAGTAGAACAACATGATTCATAAGGCTATTGCGACAAGGCCACAAGGACTTCAGGAGATCGTAGTAAGGAGTTATAAAAAAACCGACACATCACCCTCAGTGCCATGTGTGCACACAGATTGAAAGACAGCAATACCAATTGGACACTGACAATCAGTTTTGTGTGCGCAGGAAATCTGTCCATCTTGGTACTGCCCAATAAAAACTGATTCAGCCTGATAGGGTGTCGAAAGTTCCAGAAGGTCTGTTCCATAGGACGTCCTGGCTGAGAAGGGGCAGCGACGCTGCTTTGATGACGGGTATGGTACTTCCGCCAAGTCGTGTGAATGAGTGGCTAAATTTGTTACCCCAGTGTCTGTAACGTTTTAACACAGCTGGTTAGTCCACTGTGCAAGCTGAGATGACTCTGAATTTGACTGAAGTCCCAGCGCACCTACTGAAGGACTCCACCTGCAGAACCATGTTTTGCACGTGTTGTGGAACACAGTTTTCCTAATGCCTTCTTAATACCGTGAATCAAAGTCTGGATAGCCGCTCAGCCATACCAGAAAAGCCAATGAACGTGTGAATCGGTTGATGTATTGAACACTGATTGAACACAGGCGTGTCATACACACCCAAAAACGGGTTGGTTATGAAGCTCACGTGGTACGTTCTAGGCGGGCCAGAAATGATACTAAAAATAGAACTCATCTGTCAAGGTCAAATGTAGAACAACCAATTAAATGTGTCTCGACGAAAACGGTTATTCCGTTGGCAGTTGTGTTGTCCAGTTGCGTTCGGAGCTGGTTCTCTTAACAGTACGCATGACAGAGTGAGCCCATGTGAATTACAGTTTTATGAACCATTTGAAGCGATGCTAAAACCACTTGACTTTTTTTTACGAAATCATAAACAAGGGAATCAGCTGGGTCCTAGCTGAGTCGCTCGAAAAGCCAAAATTGTTTGCAACTGAGTGTATTTCGCTAAGTTCGTGCGATTCGGGTTGAAGTAGAAGGTAAGATTTGCGGAAACTCGGGGACTGCGCCTACCTGATGAGCTACAAGAAAAGCGAAACCGGTCGTGGGTTCTCAAACCATTTTCAGCAACCTTATGAGTAGTGTATTACGTCTAACTTTGAGCCAATGAAACTGTATGAAGGGAAAAATTTTATGTATGAAAACTTTTGTGATTTGACTTCATTTACTTATGGCGACAGATTGCACAGTTCCAAGACAAACAGACCATCGAAAGTGACGAATGCTATTTACAGCCCTCAGGTGTGCACTAGTTTTCAGTTTATTCGTTTAGATGTGGATGATGAATAGTTGTAATCTTTCAGGTGTGACACCCAAAGATGTCACGCTACCCTAAGGAAACACGACGGGTGTGATTGTTCCAGGTTGCCCGGACCCAGGCAGGAGCAGCCGAGATGTCAAAGTTGGGATCGAACCAGGAACCATCCAGTCCATAAGTTCGCGGCTTAACCGCGGAGCCAATCAGAACTACTGCGGTATGTGTTGATACAGAATATTTGGTGTTCTTTGCCAAGATGTAGAAATGACAGATGTTAGCGTGAGTTTTGGTGGAACTCGAGGAAAAAACGTTGATTTTTTCTGGTAAAATGTAGCATTGGCTTTTACAGTTCCTGTCACAAACATCCAAATGGAATATTCATCAAAGTAACAGGCTTTCAGGAAGTACTTAGGTCCCACAAATTCAAGCTAGGATGAGCTCCGCACCTACCATATTGTAACGGTCTGTGTGATTTTGTGACTCAATGAGCTGTACTGGGAAGTGTCCCGGTTCTGCAGGTTTGGGGTTGGAACACATGTGGCGAATTGCCCTTTAAGAAAGGGCATATAATGACACTTCGCGCTTACGGTCTGACTTTTGAACCAATGGCTTTGGTTGAGGAACTTATCGTCTTCCCTGGCAGTATCCCAGCCCATTTTACAAACATGAAACCCATAACTGACCTTAATCGGCCATCACGTGATATCATCAACCGGGTCACCTTACTTGCTGCACACAGTTGAGCGGAAGTCCGAAAACGGCCTACAACTGACGCCTTCCTTCTTCAAGACAAAGCACCAGTGTTTGAGCGCTGATGCCGAGCCTTCGATGATGACGATGGCCACTGTATCATCAGCTGTCATGTTCCCCTAGAAGCGAACAACTCTGCGGAGCAAATGCATTGTGATCACCTCGATCGTTCTCAGTACAGTGTTCAGCGGTGAGTCTTCATAGTCAAACGAAACGCAAAACGAATCCATGATATAAGTTTAAATAAAATTATTACCCAGTGTCATCAACGTCCTAAGTGTTCGTCTGAGGAATTCGAATGTTAGAAATTTCCAGTGGAACTCACCAAGTTCGTTAACCACCTTTTGTTAGTAGCTTCGAACAACTTTCATTTCGGTAGCTTTGGTTAGGTTCACCAAAAAAGAGAAGTTACGATGTCGTAGACCCTAGTGGGGCAGGATTTGGAACCTGTTGGATCGACCATCTGCAGCACGGACTCAAGGACGAACCAGCATTTTGTCCGCTAGGTCGACCAACATGTGCGATGAAGAAACAAAACAGCGAAACAACGAGAAACCATTATCGGAGCTAAAATCAAAAGTTATTCTTATGCAACACACTCAGTTGAAGAAGAACGTAAACAAAAGAGATCCAGCTGGATTCAGTTTAGTCATCCGCTGAAACCATAATTGCCAGCATTTGGCCAATCTGTCCGATTTGAGTTCAATTGGGACAGGCGGTTGACAGACGCTCGGGGACTGCACCCACCTGATGAATCCACAAAAGACGAAACAGGTCGTGGGCTGTAAAATAATTTTCAGCAAGCCTTATGTCGTATTGTGGGTGGCTGTCTATTGGTTACGCCTGCACTGAGCCTGCCAGACTACGCGATAAGGGGAAGACAGAGGACTCGGGACACGGCTGCATTGTCAGGACAAAACATACAGAGCTTCTGCACAAATATATAGGATGACTAAATGACCAAATATGGTCGTTCACTTGTTCGTTTTGTACAACCAATGGTGGTGTTTCGATCGTGAACGATTTCAGGCTCACTACACTGGTCTTATGTTGCTAAGCCGTGTTTGGTGAGCTCCACCAGCGCACCTGCTTTTTGGACGTGTCGTACCGATGGTGATCCTGGGGATGCGTCACTCTCTGCACATGTAGTTTTTCCGTGTCTGGGCGCCTCCTGACACCTTATGATCATCGTGTTCTGTCTGTGAAATGTCTTGCGACGTCTCAAATGTCGAAGCAAGTGAAGCGATCTTGTGCACCTCATTCAGTCGAAGAAGAACGTCATAAACAATAGATTCTTCCAGATTTGTTATGAAAAATGTCGTTTCAACGAAACCCTGAAGAAGTGACTTCTCTTGTATACTGAGAACATCATCTTTATGGTCCAACCGACGGATTAGTCGTGAGCAGTCCACTAGGCTCAGTCCTGACAGATACCTTTATGATCAAAAGACCGAAAGGCTGTTGACGGATCTCATCATGAACCTAACTTAATCTAAGCGATATATTGTTGATCATACACTGATCAATGGTACAGAGAAGGTGTTTCACACGGATTTCGTCCGGTGTCTCGGTGACTTCTAATCAAATATTGCCGCAACCTACAAAGACGAACTGGCAGTGGGCTTCCGTATTCGGACTTGCTCGTTTCAAGAAGGCTCAGTGCTAACAGGGGAAATTTAAAATGTTGGATCAGTAAATTCAACTCCGTGAAGATGGAGCTGGAGTTGTCGAAACCACTCACAGGGAACTGTGACACCTTCATTAGAAATTTGTACGACTTTGCCGAAAGGATTACGGGGTTTCTTTTGGAGATGGACGAAGTCCTGGTGAATTTTTACGTAACCTCAATGTATACAAACATCTCAAGGGCAGATGCTCTGGAGGTAACTAAGAGGTTGTTACTGGAAGACACAACACTTGAGAAATGGACATAGCCTTCAGTGGATGAAATAAATGAGGGCATAAGTGTGTGTTTGAATCTCGATCAGCTTGTTTTTGACAAAACTGCTTACTCACTAGAACAAGGTCATGAAATGGGATCTCCAATATCCCCAGTTTTAGGTAATATTTACATGGAGGACTTCAAACGAATTGCCTTGGCTGGATATCATTGTCCATCGAACGGTTTTTGGCGTTCTTTTGACGATAGCTTTGTTTTAATCAAACAAGATAACCTGAATAAGTTCCACGACTATCTCAATAGTTTAAATCCATACATCAAGTTTAACAAGGGGATAAAGTCCATCTCGGGCACATTACCCTTCCTGGACCGTATAACACGTAAGAGTGACAGAAAAATTAAAAAACGACTATCTACCAGAAACCAATAGACACAGAGTCCATTTTAAACTACTCATCAGCACATCCAAAGTCCGTGTATGCCAGGATTACCTCATCGATGTTTAGTCGAGTCAGAGCGCTGTTCACGGAAAAGATCTAGCAGCTCAGATCAATATTACCAAAAGACTTCAAGGAATAGGACACCCAGTGAGTTTGATTAATAAGGATGTTGGCTCAAAACATAGTTAGGAATGGATTGGCACAACACTCACTCCATATAAAGCAGGGACATCGGAGGTTATTCGAAGACTGTTGAATTTAGCCAACATCAGAGTAGCTTTCCAGATGGCGAAAACGCTACCCTCATTTTTCGTGCAATTGAAAGTTCCTCTACCGGTTGAAAGGACTAAGGACTGTGTGTATAAAATTAACTGCAACGATTGCGCTAAGATTTATATAGGACAGACTGCCAGGGAATTGCACACCAGAATTGTTGAGCATAAAAGAAGGACTAACAAACCACCAAGGAATGCAGAAGAATACCAAATGCTGGTCAAAACTCAGTGATGATGGAGGTACATGCGTTAGACGCAGGACCTAGAATAAGTCTGGAGAACGTGGAAGTTTTAAGACAGGGACTAAAATTTACTGCACAGCGTCTGATAACCGAGGCGGTGCAATTAATCAAGCTTTAAAGCGAGCGTATGGAAAGCGATCCTAGATAAGCCGAGTTAACACGTGACTATGTGTGGTTGGCAATTCATGCAGAATCGTTAGCAAAAGCAGGGGGGATAAAAGTCCCGACCCGGCCAAAGTTCATAGAATCCCTCTTCTTTACACAGCTATCGTAGCACTAGCTCATCCACACAGACGGACGGAAAGTGCAAGGACGTTCAAGGAGGATCTTCACGTGAACCAAACTGGAGGAGTTAGACCCTAAGCTGAACCCAAATCCATCGAGGGTTCCCCATCCGCTCAACACTTGGTGAACCACCCTAACACAAACTGTTTTGGCGGACAACTAACAGAGATTTAGATTGGCTCACCTTATTGGTTCACCTTCCGCCTTAAATCTCGACTGAACCCAAACGAGGGTTCCCCATCCGCTCAACACTTGGTGAACCACCCTAACACAAACTGTTTTGGCGGACAACTGACAGAGATTTAGATTAGATTACCTTATTGGTTCACCTTCCGCCTTAAATCTCGACCAACCTCGTAACCTCGTAGTCACTTGGTCTAACAGAGCTTGTGTCAAAAGCGAAACGTTGCCCAGCATCAAATCTCAAACTTTTCCGGAAACGTCGAAAGACTTCACACCAGACGTAAATCTCGAATGGGCTGCACCGCTGTGCAGTGGACACCCCCAATATTTTGTCAGACGAAACGGCGAACGGAAGACCTCACCCCCTGGGAGTAACACAGCACTCAAAAGGCGCCTTTTGTGGACTATCCTCCAAAAGGGACAGCGCACTCAGCG